CTCCCCCCGGGGGCGGTGCTGGGCCTGGCCTGCCAGCTCCCCCCCGGGCAGGGGCTGCCCTGACAGGTGCGCCGGCAGATGCCAGGCTGCGGGCTCTGCGGGCCATTGTGGCGTGTTTACGTTTCTGCTTTCCCCGCCCCGCTCGCTCCCCCTCCGCTGCCTTCCTGCGGGCCTCCATCGGGAACAGACGTAAAACGCGCTTCCCGCCCAGGAACTCAGGCGGCCAGCCTCTGAGAAACTCGGAGCAGTTCTTCCCTAGGACAGTGCTGTCCTCAGGCGTCCTTCCCCTCGCAGGCCAGGCGCCCAGCCTGTCGGCGCCCTCGCTGACGCCACGGCCGTCCATCTCCTCGCCTGCCTCTGGGTGCATTGTTGAGACTCCCCTGTCTGGACTCGCCCGGACACCTGGGACCCACAGCTTCCCTCTGTGACCCCGGGAGCCCTGGCCCCCTTCGCCTCTGCGCCCCCTCACCCCCCCTAACATGCTGGAGCAAGTGGTGAGCGCAGGCTTGTCCAGCCTGAGTCCCCGGAGGGTGGTGCCCGTGCAGCCTGCAGACGTCACTCTGGGAGCCGGAGGTTTGGGGCTCTGCTCCTTCTTGGTTCGGGGCAGGCCAATGTGCGGAGTCAGCCCTGTTAAAAACCCCGGACGCTATTGTAAGAAGATAATAAGGAAATGCAAAGGCCCTAATGGTCAGCGCCCGCTCCCTCAGTGCTCCAGGCTCTGCTCAAGGCACCTGCAGGGGACCCCTCCCCTCCAACCCCCGCGAGGGGCTGCGGGTGCCGTGCAGATGAGAGAACGGGGCGCCATGGCAGAGCGGGGACTGGAACTCGGACTCTGGTTCCATCCCTCCTCCTCCTCGGGCCCCATGGCCGTCTGGGCGGCAGCGGGGGGGAGTTAAATGATGTTCAGCCAGGGCCGAGGGTCACCCAGCGGTCACGTGGTGACGTAAACAGGGACTGATGTGGGAGTTCACGGTTGTAACAGGTGGACCTTTGGCTGCAAGGATTGGGAAAGGCGGTGAATGGTGATTTGAGCAAATGGGGGTTTTGTTTTTCTTACACACAGGCGTCAGCGGCTTGTATTTTCCTGTTGTTCCAGTAGTGCCAGCTCCCTACCTTTGCTCTGTGTCCTTAGCACGGTGGTTGTTCTTGTCCTCCACACCTCAGTGTCCTAAAAGGGCTCCTGCAGCTCCAGCCTTCGCGTCCGGGTTGCAGGCAGCGGGGAGGGGGAAGAGCTGCCCAGGCCGTGTCTGCTCCCTCTTAACTCCCACATCAGACTCCTGTGACGTCATTGACCAGGATGGGTTACCTGCCCATCACTAGCTGCAGGGCATGCTGGGAAAGTGAGAACAGGAGTGTCAGTGATGGGCTTAGATGCACAAGGACTCAGGGCCACCTGAGGGAAACTGGTTGGGAGCAGGGGCGGGAAGGTAAGAGCCTGCCGAGACGGTGGAGGGAGGAGGCCGTAACGCTCCGTGAGGAGGGTCCCATGTTTGAAATCCTGAGAATGTGCTTACAGACAGAGCCCAGGAGAGCCGCAGGGTCCCGTGGAATCGGGGCTGCCCACGATGATCCCTCACTTAGCTATTTGCTTTCCCGCTCAAGGGAAACGGCGGTGCCCAGGAGCCATGCTCCAGGTGGCCCAGCCTCCGTCACTATTGTGACAGTAGACTCCTGGTGGTGTAGTTGGCCAGCCGCTCTTGGGGGCCAGTATGAGAGCCTTTCTTATATTTCTACGCTGATTCCTTTTTTCTTTCACAAAGAGAAAAAACAAGAGCTCTTATGAATCATTCTCAGTTCCCTGACTTTAGAAATGTGTGGTGGAGAACAGAGAGGTGCGGTGACTTGCCCAGAGCACACAGCCGGCGTGTGGCGGGCTTCATACTGGGGGAAGAGGCCGATGATGGCTTTAGCAGAGGGGCGAGGGCGAGGGTGGAGGTAAGGGCGCCAGTCACTTTAGTGTGTCTTTCTTCCCCAGAGAAGACATGTCTCAAGCAGGACACCTCTCCAGGAGCCTCATCTTGTGCACCTTCCTGCAGGAGCATGGGCTGCCAGCGGCCGAGGATCCCGGCGTGACCAGCCTCCTCCAGTACTCGCCTGAGCCCCTGGGGTAGGTCCCATCAGCTGTCTGCGGGCCCCGCCCTCCCCATTCTGGACCTGGGGGCGGTGAGGAGAGCAGGCCTGCTGGGTCCGGGCAAGGCTCCAGGGTGGAAACTCCCGGGTGTGGTCGCGGAGGCCAGCGCCTGGCAGGAGAGCTTTGTTCTGATCCCATTGCATGGAGGGCACCTCAGCATCCCAGGACCTTAGGCGCCAGCATCCAGTGCCTCAAGCTTGTGGATTAGGACGGAGTGCCTCCCGGCCCGTGACCCCCCATGACCGTGACCACTGCACCAAGGCCTCTTAAGAGCCGGGCCGGGTGTGACTCAGCGGTTGACCGTTGACCTTGAACCAGGAGGTCACGGTTTGATTCCTGGTCAGGGCACATGCCTAGGTTGTGGGCTCGATTCCCAATGTGGGGAGTGCAGGAGCCAGCTGATCAAGGATTCTCTCTCATGGATGTTTTCTCTCTCCCTCTCCCTTCCTCTCTGAAATCAATAAAATATATTTTTTAAAAAGGCCTCTTAAGAGAGGGATCGAGTAGCCTGAGGCCGCTTCAGGCTCGGCTGCAGCTCCTGGCCCTGGCTGGTAGGGCAGCAAAGAGGGCACGTGCCCAGGATCCCTTCAGGGCCCGGATGCTCGCCGCTGCTCTAGGCCTCAGGACTCTTACTCATTAACTCCTGGACTTGGGGGTGGGGCTGGGTGGGATGTTAGGGCCGGGGGGACCCACAATGTGCCTTTTCCTCCACCCCGCCCGTTTGTAGATGGCAGCAGGGGACATCATTGGGTATCAGCATGCAGGTGGGACCTCAGCCCACTCCCTGGTGCCAGCCAGCCCTCCCCACCCTCCCGCCCCCATTGCTCCTGGAGCAGAGAGCATGGCCCCGAGACTGGGCAGGTGGCCGGGGCTGTGCTGGGCTGGGAGGCCTCTGGTCTGGGAATTCCCAGGCAGCTGCCTACTCACTGGGATGGAATGTCTGGGCAAACCCCCGAGAGCAGGGCTGCGACCCGCCCAGGCACACAAGGGGGAGGGGAGGACATCAGACTGGGCAGCTGGGGGGAGTGGAGCCTCCACGTCCATGAAGGAGTCCATTCAGTGAGAGTGGGCCCCAGATAGGCTGGTCAGCCCCTCCTTTCTCAGGGGTGATGACATAGAGGTTTCAGGATTGGGGACCAGGGACCAGGTCCCTGAGCACCTCCCCACCTGGAGGAGGGTAAGGTGAGGCCGCTGTGGGAAGCCAGCCTATGATCCAGGGGGGCTCAGACCCCCACCTGCCCAGCTCCAAGGCCCAAAACGCCCCCATGTCCTACCCCAGCTGAGGGCTCAGACCAACCAGAAGCCCCTGCCCCTGCTTCTGGAGCCACCGGTGGGCAGACCTTGATGGCTGTCTGCAGCAAGGTGGGAGCCAAGGAGAGGCCTGAAGGTTCCCTGCCCTGCGCCCCGCAAACCTGTGGCCCCGCTGGTTGGGTGCCTAGGTGTGCGTCATCGGCACAACCCACCCTCCTGTCCTGCACCCCTCGCAGAGCCCTCCCTCACGAGGTGGCCATGCGGCTGGCCTTCATTGGGGACGAGTTGGAAGTGAGATGGACGCTGCCCCGCTTTGCCCACGTGCCCTGGATGGCCATGTACAGGTACCAGCCTAGCGCCGCGCTTTCTCCTTCCTGCCCGGCTGCCGGCAGCAGGACCTTGAATGATGGGACGTGCTGAGTGGGCTCCGATGGTGGTACCCGAGGCCCCGGCGGAGACGCTCCTGATTGGCCGGCCTCCCTGCGGGTGCTCAGACCTCATGGGATGCTCAGGGTGGGGCAGAGGGCCCTTCCTGGAGACCAGGCCCCAAGCGGTGTGCCCCTTGGTCTCAGGGAGGCGGCCTTCTCTCGGGGAGCCCAGGCCTGTATCCAAACAGCCTCTCTGGCGGGAGAACCTGCTCCCGGACCCGCCTCTCAGGCTGTGGGCAGTGGAGGGTTTTCCACGGGGCCAGGTCCAGAGCTCAAGGCCAGACGCCAGTGCGCTGGCCGGTGTGTGGGGGACACGGACAGGGACAGAGAGACAGGAAGTCAGGTGACCTGAGGACCAGAAACAGCCCATGGAGCATGGAGAGGCCATCATTGCGGAGCCGCCCAGGGAGGAGGGTGAGGGTGGGCGTGGGGGGCCAGGGAGAGGGGGCCCTCTGCCCTTTCCACACGGTAATGGCCGCTCCCGCTCCCATTTGTCTCACAGCTTCGCGCACACCTACAACCAGACCGGCCTGAGGGTGGTCCTTACCAGTGTTATGGGTGGCCTCCCTTACCTCAGGGGGAACAGAAGGTTCTGGAGCTTCCTGATCCTCAGGGCCTGGGTAAGCGTTCCTCTCAGGGCCCCAGTCCCCCCACTCCCAGTGCTAGTCTCGCCTGCTCCACCCACTTCTGCCTGGTCCCAGAGGCCTCTGGGTTGAGACTGGGATTGCTGACCGGGCACGGACCCTGGAGTGCCTTGCCTGCTCCACACCTTCCTCCGGTTCCTCACTCACCTGCCAGGGCAGTCCGGGAGGCTTGTCCTGAGCAGCGTTCCCGACCCCCGGGCTGTTCCTCCCACCGGCACGGTGGATCGCCCCCTACTCCTCGGCCCGTCCTCAGGGGCACTTGCCTCCTACCTCCTGCCCTCCTCTCTGGGCCAGGTCCCTGAGCCCCGTTCCTGCCGGAGATGCCCTTGTTCAGCCCCCTTTACCGACTTCTCCTCACACCCCGCTCGCCCACAGGGCTGACCACCAGCTCAAGTGGTCCTCACGCTCCCCTTCCTCTCACAGGTGTCCCCCCGCCAGGGACAGGGGCGCAAGCTGTCCGGGCTGCTGCTGTTGGCGCTGCTGCTAGACTGGGGCCTGCACCTCCTCCAGTGACGCGCTGCTGGCCAGCGCGGGGCGGGCTGGCCCCTCCCCCACCACCACCCTGGAGGTGGCCTTGTTGGTTTTGTCTTTTTAACTGTTTTCTTATGATCCCTTTTTTATATTTAAATTCTGAGTGCTGGGACACTCCTGAGGTTTCATACGTGTTTTTTTGGTTTTGTTTTTTGTAAGAGAAATGAATTATACCTCTGGGATCTTCATGGCTAACTGTTCTCCTGCCCCAGGAGCCATCCTCTCCTGTGGGCCATGCAGCAGGCGCTGGGGGAGTGCTGGTCACACCCGTGTCTGCGATGCCCGCAGCAGAGAGAATCTGCTGGAGTAGATTTTGAGGGGTGAGGAGTCAATAAAATGTTGGTTTCCATTCGTCTCTGGTCCTCTCTGGGTTTGCAGCGTGGGCTCCATCTTGCCCCTTGGAGGGAGATGATGGGGAGCGGTGGTGGTGGTGGTGGGGAGGCATGGCCCAGCCACTTGCCGGCGTCACAGCCTCAAGCTCCCCCCACCCCCCCCACCCGAGTGCTGCGCAGGCCCCAGAGCACCGGTTCACTCGCCCCTCATGTCTTGGTGCCTGAAATCGACCACAGGGATTCTTTCCTTGGGCTGCCTGCCCTCCCCCGTGTGCTCAACCTGTCCTGCCTGCGGGCGTGGTGCAGCCTCTGAGCGGGCGCACAGGAGGGGCTGGGCAGGGGCACCAGGATTCCCACAGGTCAGAAAGGTGCCCCTTTCCTCGTTAAAACCAGCTTCAACCTGAGTCCATGGCGGTCTAAGAAGTCACTCTTCAAACCCCAAAAGAAGGGCCAGTGGCCTGTTCCTCCCAGGCAGGGCACAGGATTCCTAAGGAATCTGCACAGTGCTCCCACCACCCCCACAACAGCTCTCTCCAGCAGGCTGGGCTCGCCCAGGGTGGACACGACCCCACCCCCCGGGGACCTGAGGCAGAGGCTGCCAGGGGCAGTGAAGCTCCTCCCAGAGCAGGTGCCAGGCTGGGGGGCCCGGAGGGGCCCTGTCATCTTCCGTTTCGGGGGCCTTTGAACATGAACACGGCCCCTGGTCTGGTCAGGATTCCTGGAGATGAGGCGAGGTAGAGGCTCAGAAGGGTGCCCAGGGCACCCTGCTCCTGCCAGGGCAGAAGGGCAGCGCCCAATCCAGGCAGACCAGGGAGCCAGGGCTCACCACCGACAGGGCACCTAAAGATGGAGGGACCCCCTGCACAGAGGCTGTTGGTGTCCCAGGGAGGACTGGCCGCCAGCCCTTCAAGGGGAGTATGTGGGCCCCCGAGACAGCTCCTCCACAACTCCCTCCCTGTCTCCTCCAGATTC